CAAATATTTGCGTACTTAAAAATAATGGCGTTTACAATTTAATATTTGTTCTGAAATTTTAATTTGTTTTGAAATTTTTATGTTTTCATTTGTTTTGAAATTTTTATTTGTTTTTCAGAAATTTTTCTTTGTTTTGAAATTTTAATATTTATTTCTATTCCTATAATAATACTTCCTCCATTGTACGTAGGGTCTACGGGTGAAATCACACGGTGCGGTATAGAAAATATGTCACAAAAGCAACCAATCAGCTTTATTCTGCGTTATTCCGAATAGCGCTAATTGGTTGTTTCAATGGGCGCATTCAGCGGACTCAACAGTTGAGTGCGAGTGCCATGCTCGCTGTTTATTAGTGTATTCTTTTAGTTCATCCAATCAGAATTTTCAGCAATCATTTTCCGCATCGTGTGATTTCACCCTGACACTATAGTTAACTATCAATTTGAGATTAACACTCAACATCCAAGTTATCAATAACACTCAAATTGAGAGTTATACTCAGGTTGAGCGTCCAAAATAATCATTAATTGAGTGTTACCTTCAGTGTATTTTTTCAGTATTTTTTAAAATGTAAACACTCAAATTTTAGGAGTTTTTTCCGTAAGGGAATCCAGCAGGAAAACAAGCATCGTGTAGATTTAAGCTGCAGGCTTAAGATAACGAAAGAAGAAGATAAGATCTTAGCGTATCTGGATAAACAGTATTGCAAAAACTCCCTAATGAGAAGGACAACGGTCGTCTTCCACGGTCCCTTCCTTACGGAAAAAACTCTGAAAATTTCAGTGTTTATACTCAAATTTGAGTGTAAACCCTAAATTTTGAGAGTTTACTCTGAAATTTGTGTTTACACTTAAATTTTGAGTGTTTACACTCAAACATTGAGTATATACACTCAAAGATCGAGCGTTCACAACGTTCATACTCAAGTTTGAGTTTACACACTAAACATCTAAAGGTTACCCTCAACACTTGGGTATGAGACGCAATAAATGAGCGTAAACCCTAAACCTTTGAGTGTCTTCAAAATTGAGATAAACTTAAGAGTTATTTGGGTTTTAATTTCCATGATTAAGATAAATGCCAAAATATTGAATGTAGATGCCCGCAAATATTTGCGTACTTAAAAATAATGGCGTTTACAATATTAATATTAATATTAATTAATATTAATTAATATTAATATTTGTTCTGAAATTTTAATTTGTTTTGAAATTTTACTATTTATTTCTATTCCTATAATAATATTTCCTCCATTGTACGTAGGGTCTAAGGGTGAAATTACACGGTGCGGAAAAGAAAATATGTCACAAAAGCAACCAATCAGTTTTATTCTGCGTTATTCCGAATAGCGCTAATTGGTTGTTTCAATGGGCGCATTCAGCGGACTCAACAGCTAAGTGCGAGTGCCATGCTCGATGTTATTAGTGTATTCTTTTAGCTCATCCAATCAGAATTGTAGATCTAGAAGAATATACCAATAACAGCGAGTGCTCACTCAACTGTTGAGTCCGCTGAATGACGCATTCTTTGTTCCGCAATCATTTTCCGCACCG